GATTATGTTTCAACTAAGACGCTTAAGGATCCATCTTAAGCAGGCGACAATATGAAATAAATCAGTGTAAAAATGCGCTATCTCAAGTCGTAGACATTGCTAAATTTCCATAAATTATATGATTTACACAAATACTTTTATCAAATCATAGTCTAGATTACATTTATTTAGATGACATTTTTTCAACTTTACTGTAGCAGAACTTGAAGCAAAGCAGCTGGATAAAACATCCCCGAAGAAGGAGGAATATTCGTCCACTGCTTCTGTAAAGTTCATTACAAGTTTAGCACCATTATCATTTCCAACACCAATCCATTATTGTCACTTTATTTTTAACTAATTAATTTGTCATACCTCTTACGACAGTTTTAGAGTAGTTATCTCTTTCTTTGCATATTTGTTGTAAATGCATGTTGTCTAGGTTCAAAGCATATCTAATTTATTTTTCTTTTAATATTATTGTAATATCACTACCCTTCTCATCATGTCCAAAGCTTATATTTATAATGAGATGTATTCACCCTATTTTTTTGTTTAAGGTGATGAAATATAATTTCCCTCACTATGATATGAGTAGAGCTGACGTTTCCATTGAATTTCACATAGCCCTGCTTTTCCAAAAGTTGTTCTCATCCAATCAGAAGTGGACTGCAGTTTTGACCTTTATCAGCACCTCAAACGGGAGTCAAACCGTGACGGTGTAAAAATGTGAGATTGACACGTTGACCACTCGGCCATATTGTCACGAGTGACCTTGGATCACAGAGCAGATGTGAATTTCATGGAAGGCCAGGCCTTTTCCCATATCACATTCTTTTTTGGGATTGTCGATGGAGCAAACGTATTTCTGCTATCACAATCGACTAAGTTACTTATTTTTCGTATGTAAGTAGAGTTTCTAGACTACCAGTAAATCAGTAATGTGATATCTATTTACCCTATTTCTTTAAGGTGATGAAACCTTATTTACTGCTTTACTAGTAGTCTTGAAACTACTTCCTTAGGACTTATATTTATATATATTTATATATATAGGTTTGGAGCCTGTAATATAATCTTTCACTCATTCAATCTTATACAAAATTCTACTCCCACATCTTCAGCCCAGGTACTCTCCCCTTTTAAACCTAGTAGCCAGGCTAACGGGGCCCTCATTCATGGAAATATGCTGCTCCAGCGAGAGGAAATCAGAAACCGTAAGCTTGGCCTGCACATCCCGAATGTACCGAACCTAATTTCTCAGTGCCATGAGAACAACCCGTCAATCATTGGCTCTTCCGTCTCCATTCCTATAGTTCAGCCTCAAAATGTCCGAATCCCTTTTCAGCCTCAAGGCCTCAGCAATCAGCCTCCTCATTGCTCATCTCATCCGCTCACTCCCTCTTCATTCCCATCGCCACTGCCGCTGCCTGTTCTAACTCCTGTCCATTCGGTCAAAGAAGACAATCAACCTTCACCACGGACATCAGGTGAACCTGACCCACCCTTGTCTTCTATATCAGATTCAAAGTTGACGGAACTAATTAGATCTCGAAGAGCACGTAGACGACACAATCGAGAAGTACAAAGGAATAGCTGCCTGGCAAAATTGGTGCCCAAAGGGTCAGCTGATCTCAGACCAAGCAGGAAGTCAGTAAGCCGGAGACGATGCTGCAGACAAGCTGGGTCTTTTTGGTGT